TTGTTGTTATTCAGTTGTTTCAGTTGTGTCTGACTCTTCCTGACCCCATTTGGGTCTTCCTTGGCAAAGATACTGGAGTGGTATGTCATTTCCTTTTCCAGCTCATTTTATAGATGAAGAAACTGAGGCAAACAGGGTTAAGTGACTTGCCCATGGTGACCCAGCTAGTAAGTATCCAAGACCATATTTGAACTCAGGAAGATGAGTCTTCCTGATTTCGGGTCCAATACTCTACCAATACTCACCTAGCTGCCTCATAAAGTATATGGGGGAGGGGGGACAAGGTAAAATCACTCTGTGAAGAGAGGTTAAAGACAGATCAAAAAGGAACTGAAATGTCATATAGAAAAATTTCTGTTTTTCTTAGAGAAATGGAAGTCACTGAATCTTTCTGAGCAAATTAACCTAGTCAAACCTGTACTTTATGGGCAGTTTTGTGGAGAATGGATTAGAAAGGGAATAGAATGGAGCAAAGGAGATCAATCAAGAGGCTATTACAGTACTTCAGCTGAGAAGCAATGAGAGGTCAACCATATGCCTGGACTAGTGCAGTAGTCTTCTGCTTGGTTTCCCTGTCTTAACTCTCTCTCCACTCCAGTCTGTTACCATGTCACCTCTCTATTCAATAACCTCCAATGACTCCCTATTGTCAGTCCGTCTTTTTCAAAGAAGACCAATGACATTACCAATGACTGTCTTGCTTGTGAATTGGATTTGTGAGGCAGAGTTACACAAAGTCATCATCCTTACTCTCTTTTCCAGACTCACTGAAGCCCACTGGCAAGACAAAAGTCAGGACAACTGATGATGGCTCAGGATGCAGTGGATGACCTTACTGTCTTTGATGTCTGACCAAGCTCTAAGTGCTCCACAGCATTGGGTACTGCTACCTTCCTGGCCTTTAGAGCAAATTGTTCTCATCTGCCCACTCCACCGAGGGAATCTTCACACGTTTGGGGTCAAAGTAGGATGGAAATGGGTTGGGATAGAAATATAAAGAGCTCCATGTTAAGTATGAGATGCTTATCATATATCCAGTGGAAAATGTCCAGTAAAAGACTTACATGAACCGATGCTGAGTGAAATGAGCAGAACCAGGAGAACATTGTACACAGTAACAGCCACACTGTGTAATGACTGACTTTGATAGACTTAACACTTTTCTGCAATACAAGGATCTAAGACAATTCCAAAAGACTGATGATGAAAAATGCTATCCATATCCAGAGAAAGAGCTATGGAGTCTGAATATATATATTGAAGCATACTATTTGCTCTTTTTTTATTTTGGTTATTCTTTCTTGTGGCTTTTCCCTTTGGTGCTAATTCTTCTTCACAACATGACTAATGTGGAAATATGTTTAATATAATTGTACATGTATAGCATATATCAGATTGCATGTTGTCTCAGGGAGTGGGAGGAGAGGAAGGGAGGGAAAAAGAACTCAAAATCTTATAGAAGTGAATGTTGAAGACTAAAAACAAATAAAGAAGTAAAATAAAAAAGAAACAAAATAAAAAAAGAAACAAACAAAAAAGATGTCCAGTAGGCAAGGCAGTTAGCAATTTGAGATTAGAATTCAGAATTCAGAATGCTGGAGATATCTATACCTATCTATCTATCTATCTATCTATCTATCTATCTATCTATCTATCTATCTATCTATACATATATACACACATGTATGTGTATATATATATATATATATACACACACGCACACATATATATGACATGAAGAGGTATTGGGCCCCTATAATGTCTGCAACCCACCTCTACTTGCTCCAACCTGCATGTACACTGGCATATGAGGGGAGTTTGCAGAGGTGGAGTGGGTGGTGGTGAGTATGGCCATGGCTGAAAGTCACTCTCAGGGCACTAGGACAAACTCCTGTGTAAAGGGAATATATATCTAAACTCACAGTGCTTGCTCCTGAACCTCCCACCAGTTTGCTTATGATCAACACAAATCAATCATAATTACACCACCAACTCTTAAACATGAAAAATGTACTAAATGAGAAGACAAAAGCCAGAATAATCATAACACATAAGTTACTAAATAGAAGGCAAAAACAGGAATGACCAAAGCACAACAGTCTACCATAAATGAGTCACACTCTTCCACTAATGTATACATTGTATGTGGTGGTGGTGGATTGGGGGAGAGTGCACACAAACCTACAGAAACCCATTGGTGAGGCACACAATTAGGGAAATTCATGCACCTGGGGCCACTCACAATTATGGATGCCAGTGTTCTTTTTATAGAACAGTCTGTCCCATGTTTCACCTGCTGGCTTCTCTAGTCTCCAGCCAGACAAAGATACCTTTTGTCACTCTCCAACTGCTGAAGTGATGTTAAACTCTTTTAGCTAACCCTTACCTTAAGCCTTGGCTCTATAGTGCTTCCCAAGTCAGCTCCTTTAGCTAGGTGCTGAGGCTACATGATATTCAGTGAAAAGTAGTTCCTTATAAACCCTGATTTGGTACCTGAAATCCTGGGATTCATGTTTGACTATGTAGGCTTTCAGTGAATTTTTCCTCCCAAATCAAAGAGGGGAGAAAAAGGGCAAGGTAGACAAGTCTTTGAGGAGTTTTTCCTCTCCCAATCTGTAGAAGGTGCTAGAGAGCAAGTCAATCTCCCCTCAGCCAGTTCTTCCACCACAGAAATAGATTCTCTTTTCTTCCAATCAGCTCTTTTAAATGATAGAACTTCCCTCTGATCAGATCACCTTCCTGAAATACGTTTGGTGGCTCTCAGCTCCATAGCTTTCTATGCCCTGTGCTCTGGTTTCTAATGTTTAGTGTCTTTGTTTCTATAAACAACATCCTTTATCAACCTTTTCTGATGTCTCCCCTGTGCTTGACTTTGGTTGCTAATTCTTGACTTCCTGCTTTAATGGCTCAAATTGGTGTCCCATCATGTAGCGAACCATCTGTAACTTAGTTTGAAAAAACACAAAACAAAACCCAAATCCACATTTGTTCAAATGTTATACAATAGTCTCATAGTGCCATGCAACGTTTCCCATCAATAAACTCAAAAGTCCTGAAAATAGTCATATTCAAATTAGCTGCTGGGAAGCAATTCCCTGCAAATTTCTAGTATTAGTCAGTACTTTTACTTTTGACATTAATGTATTTATTGTAGTTCTCTCAGAGATCTCTGTTATTTCTCCTTAATTTTTTCTTAGGGTTGTGAGTCTATTGTCTGTGTTTTTTCAAACTACTTTTCTCTGTTTCACATGAAAAGAAAGCTTTCCCCCAACCCCTGCCCCTTCCCACATCAAAAAGGAGCAGTACTTTACATATAGCTCACAAAATATTGAGTTAGAAGGGATCTTAGAAATCATCTAGCTCAATGCCTTCATTTTAAAGATGAGGACACAGGGGCTCTGAAAGCAGAACTGACTTGCACATATTTATAAATACAATTGGTCACACTGCCAGACTGGAACTCTAGTCTCCCAACTTCTGGTCCAAAGCTTTATATAGTATGTATGTAAAAAATCATAACATGTTAGAAATTAAAAACATAAAGCTCAAGGGACTGCAGAGGCTATAGGATTCATCTCCTTATTTTACAGATGAGGAAGTTGAGGCCCAGTGAGTTCAGTGATTTGCCCAAGCTTGCACACATGATGAACCTCAGAAGCAGGATTTGAACCTGTGTTGTCTGACTCCTTTCAGGCAACTAGGTGGTGGAGTGTGTAGTTCTGGGACTAGAGTCAGGAAGACCTGAGTTCAAATTTGGCCTCAGACCCCAGAAAGCTGTACAATCCTGGGCAAGTCGCTTAACCCTGTCTGCCTCAGTTTCCTCATCTGTAAAATGAGGTAGAAAGGAAAATGGCAAACCACTCCAGTATCTTTGCCAATAAAACCCCAAATGACTGAATGAAATGACTGAATGACATTGTCTAACACCAGCCTTAGTGGTCTTTCTACTGTACCAGATAGCTGAGCTAATTATACTTTTATGTAAAGGAAGATATGATTCTCTCTAGCTTCCTGTACTTTAGTTAAAGCAAGAGAGTGATCTCTGTCATCAATACTCCCTGAGAGGCATCTGAGCCAACTGGTGCCATTCCCCACCATAGGTATCTCTTTCTCTTTCATCCTCTCTGTTTTTTTCTTTTCCATGCCTTCTTTTTCTCTTTTCCTAATCTCTTTCCTTTTCCTTTCCCTTTTTCATTTATAGACTTTATGTTTAACAGTGGTACTTCATGTATCTGAGTCCCAGTTGTTAAAGAGATTAGTGATCCCTGGTTTAAAAGGATGCTAATATGCTAATATGGATCTAAATGAAGTTTCACATGCTACAATGAGATTGAAATTTTGCAATACTTTTAAAAAATTGTCAAATATAGATATCCATTTATTTTCATTAGGACAGGACTGTGGCTGGGAAGCCTACATTCCTGGCTCTGGTCCCTTTCTTCTGAGAATAGTCAGTCATTTGTCATATATATCATTTGACATAACCTTTCCTGATTTCAGGATGTATTGAAATAATCCCTCTAAACAGCTGCAAAGTATAACGCTAATAATCAAATTGTGTTTTTGTCACATCCACATGTGAAGCTCTAGTCATGATTATGTAAGGTGCTGACAAAGGTATACATTACCAAATCCTACTGTCTTCTTGACAAATTAAAGGTTGGGTCTATGTTTCTTGAAAAATCTAAAGCCATTGAAGGGATCTTCTTAGAGGGATTTCCCCCCAATATCACTGTGTTCTCCATGTTGGTGTTTTGGAAATAACAAATTAGCTGTTTATTTCTTTACCATTCTTCTTATCTCAAAGTGTTATCTGGGTGAATTCTTGACAAAAGTAAATTTTGTGATAATTGAGTGGTCATGGTAATAGATGTTTATGTGGTTTAAGGATCACAATATATATATAATAATGGAATAAAAGTTATTTTGAAGTGTTGTCTTCATCTAGTATGTTATAAATGTAAATTCTATCACTGTCTTCTGTTCAGGTCAAGGTGAATGGGAGACCAACTGAACTACCATCCTCTCACATTGACCACCAGAAGGCAAATGGCTTACCAAGGTATGAATCTAACTTGTTATTTGCTTGTGTTGGCCTTTTAATGTGGACTTTCAGCATGGAAGTCTGGATTATGAACTGTAGCAATTATTCTGGGCCCTTTCAGTTACTGAAACCCAGTTGTGATGTGAAATTCAGTTTGCTTTTTGTCCTAGATGATGCTAGGGTTAGCAGTGAGTTGTAAAAATGTCAGTAAAACAGGTGGAAGACCTTATTTCATATCTTTGGCTTGGACACTGGTTCAACAAGGATTGTGCTTCTCTATCTCCTCAAGACAACTCTCATTGAGAGCCAACACTGAATTTATTCACATCAGCCTGCTTAATGGAGTTAATAAGAATATTCATGTTGTTGTCGTTAAGTTGTTTTTCATTGTGTCTGACTCTTTGTGAACCTTTGGTATTGGCAAAGATACTGGAGTGGTTCACCATTTCCTTCTTTAGCTAAGTTTATAGAAGAAGAAACTAAGGCAAGCAGGGTTAAATGACTTGCCCAGGGTCACACAGCTAGTAAGTGTCTGAGGCCAGATTTGAACTCAAGAAGTTCAAAGTCTTCCTGCCTTCCGACGAAGCACTCTATCTACTGTGTCACCCAAATAAGAATTGTGCTCTATCTGTTTGATTAGTATTTAGGCAGGTATGGACGCAATTGTGTTAAGAGATCCCCATGTACCACAGATACAATTAAGATGGAGAATGATTTCGAATTTGGTGACTATTTTTGTATTGGTTGGACTAGCTTTACTTGGCAGATTTTCAATGATGATGTTATTTAGCAGTGAATTGTGTATTGCTCATCCAGCCTTTTGGGGAATACTTTAAGGCATTAAATTTCAGTAAAATCAAAGAGTCTGAACCTTGGTACACAAAACATATGGACCAAATATTAATTTTATGGCAATGCTGCCAGCCAGAACAATTTCTCATTGTTTCTTTTTGTCCCTTTGATATCAAGGGTGGCCTACTGCACTATATGTTCTTTTATGTTTTTGTAACAGCAAAAATTCTGTAATAATCAAGGTCAATGCAGGTTTGGAATATTTTGAGAAGAGGTGGGCATAGCCATGTCTAATAAATTATTTGTATGTTTCTGTTGAATGACTATATCTCCTGTTCAATTTCTCATACAGTTTTCCCCATCTCCTTCCACTGTTTCCTTTTTTCTTCCATTTTTAAGGCCTCTTGGTATGTTTTTTGATCTTGTCACTTTTTTTTTTGTTAATAGGAAGGCGTGCTAGCTAAATACCAGGTCCCATATGATAAACTTCCTACCACCTCAGTCTTTTGTCTCTCTATTTTTCATCCTCAATTATTGGACTTGGGAAGTATACATCATCTTTAGATCTTTTACTTAGTAGCTTTCATAATATTTTCAGACAAGTTTCAGAATAACTAGAAAAACACAAAAACCACATCAGACCAAATCTTAGAATTGGAAAAGAACTCAGTTATTATCCAGTTCGACCAAACCCCCCAAAGAATCCCCATTACAATATCCCCAACAATGGATATCAGTTGGCAAGCACTCAATGTGCCCATTATGTACCAGGTACTAGGCGAGGTGCCGGGGAGGGGGAACATTTAATATTAGAGTGGGAAAATCCTCACTCTCACAGAGCTTTCATTAAAGCTTTTGTGTGATAATTCCTAGTGAGGAGGAACCCACTATTTATTGAGGCAGCCCATTCTACATTTTGATAACTCTAATTATTAGATAATAAAAATTATTTTTGACTCAGAAACATGCCACAGCAGAAAGAGATGTATCCTTAAATATTTCCTCAGGATAAATTAATGAATGGAATTGAAACAGAACTTCTTTTGAGCTATTCCAAATGAACTCATTTCACAGCATTTATCATGGCTTCCTTTTCATTGGGGAAATTTATTTAAGTTATTAAAAAATTCCCCAAAATTCTCAGCTGAAAAGTTGGCTTCTGTTTTTTCTACAAAGTTAACTCACCTGATTTGTCAGAACAGCTCGAAAATGAAGTGCTAACTGGTGGGTTTTATGGAAAGGAAACCAAGTGGAACAGCATATGTATTTTCTTAGAAAACTAAAAAGCTCACAGTCATGTGGTGTTCCTTGGGGTAAATTCTTTGTTATGAATTACAACCTGCTTACTGATGAGTTGTTAATAAAAAGTAGACCTGCTGGGCCATTATTTTTTTCCACACAGTATACACAGTTCAGGTCTTTTTTTTTTTTTTAACTTTTCATTAATGCACTGAGTGTGAATAAATCTGTTTCTAATTTGTAATTGTTTTCCCTTCATCTGGACATTAATTTATTGCCAAATCAAACACTCATCTATTATTAACATCCCCCCTCCAAATAAGGGAAAACTAAAAAAGATGTTTTTTTGAAGTTGATGGAACATGAGATGAAAAGGTTAAAGGACGACAGGAATCACTGTTTGCTTAGGTAACATCCAAATGTCTGGGATCATGGGGAAGGGAACATAGGTGTTTGTGGGCCCCTCCATGTTTAACTTTAAGGTCTGCCAGCTGGACTTATATGAAGTTGACAAAATGGGCTGCAGGAAAACTGTTGAGGAAAACTAGAAACAGATGGTAACCTAAGGTGGCAGGACAACTTTATTTAGCATGGCAGTTTTAATTAATTTATTTATTTTGCACAAGCATCTGGTCCCACTGGGGAGCCTCTGTACATCCTCATTATTACATTGTAATCTCGTTAATAGCAGATCTTATTTGCCAATGAATATTAGGCAATTAAGGACTATGTAGTCAAGCAAATCATCTATAAGGCATATTACAGCTTATAGCAATAGCAGTTTTATGTGGAAAGAATATAGAAGTCTCCATTTGATGTCTTCATTGTATGGAAAAAAGTATATCCACCAATTAAGGTCACTAGTGTGGCCCCAGATAATATAACCAAGGAACTTGACAATCTGTCAATAAAACAGCTGGTGTGATTTTGTGGATATATTTGTATTTGCAGAAAGATTTGCTGTTCTGTTACTCCTTGTAAGAAATAAGGGCATAGGCCTACAAGCATGTTTTGAGTAGTGTTGACTCATTGATCTTTGATTCCTCTTCCCATCAACAATGGAAGAAAAAGGAAAGAAAGAGCAGGGAAGGATGGGAAGGAAAGAAATCATTTGGTATAAAGTAAGATTTGACATAGATAGTTTCTGAAAGAAAACTTTTGTATTCTCTCTCCACCCTCTCACTTTGCAATTTCTATATTCCAATTCTAAACTATTATTGTAAGACAACAAGGATTATATTTTCTCAAGCATGAAGATTTTCTCACTTCTGGTTTCTGTCTACCTTTTAAGTTTCTGAAAGGTTCTGATAAAGTGATCTCTAGTAAAGATGAATTCTTGTCTTATTTGTTGCTATTTTTGTAGAATTGGAAGTTTAGCTAATTTGAAAGGATCTACTGAAAATCTGCATATTCTTATTTATGTCCATCAGATTTAAGCTTCCCAGTCTAGTGGAGACTTTCCAATTTGTGTAGACTATGTAATGTTATTCAAGTTATTGCTTGTACTGATAATTGAAAAGAATTGATATGGACCCCAGGGATAGTATATTATACAGTAAGGCTGCTAGACACACAGCTATGTATTCAATAGCCCAAAGTGGTGTCTCACTAGGGCTATGAATTCTCTTGCCTTGGTTGTGGGACCAGAAAGACATTTACCAGTATAGCCATCAAGCAGGAGAGTAGTCTAATCTCCAGCAAAGGGATTAATTAAAATGTTGTTTTCTCTCCTGCAAAGATTGAAGAAAGAAAAAGAGAACAATTACCAAAAAATGTAGGCTTGTAAGCTTGGGATAAAGTATATCAGATCCCTGAAAGGTGATGGAAATAAAACATTGCGTCAAAATGTAATGGGCCTCTAAGAGAATAACACCATATGTTTTATGGGTGAGACCTCTTTGATCTGAATATTTGGGAAGATCAATAGTTGGTATACCAGTGATGAATCCAGGGGTGACACTGTAGGAACTTTCTTATTCCTAAGGCTTCAGAAGAGGGCATTGTTAGGTTGTGGTTGGATCAGCTTCTCATCAGCAGGGGTTTACATGCCAGTTAGTCACCATTTCAATGGACCAACTCACCATTTCAAAGACAGAGGATGAAAAATAGAAAGGAAAAAACTAAGAACTTAGAGCTACAGACACTGAGGACGTTTCACTTTCTAATTTCACATAATTTTTCGATTGCATCTATGATAACATCATATTGATTTTCCATAAAACCAAAGTCCTTTCAATATCTAGCCAAAGGGATAAATCATGGACATTTTAGTAAGAATATGGAAAGATATGGGATTTTATTGAGCTGAAGATTCTTGATATGGGAGCTCCCCTCTACCAATCCAGATCACAAGCTAATTTATGTCTTAGTAGATAAATCCTAGGGCTTTGTCTCAGGCACGTATGAGTTAGATGATATCCCAAAGTCACACAGCTAGTAAGTATCAAAGGCAAAATTTGATCACAGGTCTTCCTCATTCATTGACACATGGTCTGTATTTTAGAAGGAATGCCATTGCTGAATTGGTGAGCTTTCAAATGGTGATTAAATTTTGGCTTATGGAAAAGGCCTTAAAAGTTTCAATGATGTTTTCTTCTGCTAAAACACAACCAAATTTTCCTGGATACCTTTAGCTGGTTTTTCCAAGCAATAGCTGGGATTGGTAGCAACTAAAGCTTTTCAGTTAGCCATGACAGCAATTTGAATTCCTTTGGGACAAAAACCAGTGCCCTCTAAATTCATCAGAGTATATTTAGTGCCTTTTGAATTAAATATCCATGAAAAACACCGAAGCAATACAAGCACATGGAAGCTAGCATGTGGCTGGTTAGAGCTCTTGAAATTAACTCACATTCTTTTGTGAAACAGAAAAATTTTACAGATCACAAGATAAAGCAGAAAAAGGAAATAAAACAGATGAGAAACTGCATAACACAAAGTTCACATTCCCAAGAAAGGTGACTATACTCAGTTTTCCTAATTTGGGA